ACGCACGCACGTCGACCGCATGCTCAGCCACGCACGCACGCACGCACGCACGCACGCACGCACGCACCTCCTACTTGTGACCGTAGTAGTATGGACCGTACTGCGGTGCTGTGTACGCCTGGTTACTGTACACGTACGCGCCGCCAGCGCCCCTGGTGTCGTAGACGGGCGCGCCGCGCTTGTCGTAGTACATGGGCGCCGGCGGCGGCGGCGGCAGTGCCAGGGTTCCCCCGCGCGACATGGTCTTATCCATCGGGTAGACGGGCACGAGGTAGTGGTTCTGCTTCTCCGTGTCGCGCTTCTTGGCACGCATTGCCGAGTGCGCCGCCCAGAAGAGAAAGGCGGCGATAATGCAGAGCCCGTCGCCGACCCAGACGACGATGTACGACCACCAGTAGGCGCTCGTCGTCGAGTCGACTGTTCAAATCTTGTCAATTACCATAGTAAAATATTTTCTAACTGCTGTTAAGCTAAATATAACACATACATCTGAGCTGATCGTGTAAGGAATGGTATGTTTGGGTCCGTCCGTAGCATAACGGGCTTGTATTCAATTATCCTGGGTTCAAATCCAGGCAATCACCAAAATCAAATATTTTCAGACTGCCGTTGGAAGAAATGTAAACATGCATTGACCTTGCACTTGGCAAGGATCCTCACCTGATAATGTAAATATTTTGAAAGTGGTGAAGGCCATGGCCTTGAGCTCAAGGCTATGGCATTGACCTACTAATGTAAAACTTTTAAAACTTACAAAAGTGGGTCAAGGCCATGGCCTTGAGTTCAAGGCCATGACCTACTTGTGAAAAACGTTTAAAAATGAAAAAGTAGGTCAAGGGCATTACCTTGAGCTCAAGGCCATTACCTTGAGCTCAAGGCCATGGCATTGGACGAGGTCTTGGTCAAGGTCAGTGTTAATGTCAACACCGCCAGACAATAACAACGACCACAAACTACCAATGATCTACTGCAAGGTTCTTAACAGTGTATGTTACAATTTCTTAGATGATTTTTCAGAAAAGTATTGTTGATAGCCTTTAAATAATTAACAAAATATATAAAGAGGAATCTCAGGCGTTTTATTTGGAGTATATTTATTTGAAAGCATTTCAATCGTGAACGCACATGCATGGGATTACAATCTGGGTGCTACTTGTTCCAGTTCCAGAGCTTGATGTTCTAGTTCCAGAGCTACTTGTTATAGTTCTATAGCTAGTTGTTCTAGTTCCAGAGCTAGATGTTCTAGTTCCAGAGCTAGATGTTCTAGTTCCAGAGCTAGATGTTCTAGTTCCAGAGCTAGATGTTCTAGTTCTATAGCTAGTTGTTCTAGTTCTATAGCTAGTTCTTCTAGTTCTAGAGCTAGTTGTTATGGTTCTAGAGCTAGGTGTTCTAGTTCTATAGCTAGGTGTTCTAGCTCTAGTGCTAGTTGTTCTAGTTGAATGAGCATGAAATGAGAATTTCTGACAACAGGCCGCAGTCGTACATATAAAACGCGAGACCACATGCTCATACATATGGGATTGAACTTACAATAAACGATTAGTATAAAAATACAACAAATTTTTCTAAAAACACGTGGAATATCAGTATAAAACACTGTAACCATCCCCCGACGCGAATCGGTGTGCATCATGCTCCCTCTGCCTCCTCCGCTCCTGCTTCTCCTCTTCTGTGGCATTCCTCTATCAGGGCGTAAGAGAGGTCCTTACACTACATCAAGGCAAAGAATTTTCATATTATTAACTATAAGAAAACATATGACATCAATTGATTAAGTACTTGATATAATAAGTGAAATAATTTTCAAATTAATCAAACATGTAAGCTTAAGAGCAACGTTTATGAAACGTGAAAATTGATTGGAATTATGATTGGCCAAATATTACGTCCAATAAAATAAAAAATTAATGTGCAATTTTACTTAATCAGGCTTGCATAGCTGAGGCAATTCTCGTCTGTCTTTATAACGTTACAGTAACCAGCATAGAAAAATGTGGATAACTAAATTTACCATATTCAGTCTTCGTTATTCATAGAATTAAACAAAACTCGATATCTCGATATATATTAATATATAATCAATGATACGTCAATTATATCCAATTACAGGGAGTTTTGTGATACGAAAACTAGCAAATCAACAATTACCTTTGTTCTTAGCAGTTCCTTTAATGCTTTATGCGATATAGAACTACTATATAATACAGATCATCAAACGCAAATAAAATAAAGGGTTTGTGTGTGCTCGATCGTCGTTCGGTGAATTATTATTATTCTATTAGCTATTTATTACCGCATGGCAAAGGACTCGCCAGGCCGGACTTATCTTACCGGACTCCATGTTGTCTTGAATCCGGAGTTTGGGGTCTTTAGCTCAAACAACTCCATATGTTCGTACCCGTGAAAGACGGCCACGCCAGCTGCACAGAACAGGGCTATAAAGAAAGATATACGTGAAACATTACTTGTGTGCATGAACCGCTAAAAGGTACCAAAAACCGTAAAGGTACCCATAAACCGCTATAAAAAGTATCAACATATTGCCGGTAAGCTTACACTATAAATGCGCCAACATGTTCTGCTTGCATCTATGACAAATACGACATACGCATATACGCTCTCCTATGACCCTATTTGTCATATGAAGATTCTTCCTATGACAAATATTGGCGAGTCAACTTCGTTCCGCTTTACAGCTGAAATTCACTGCTTGCGTTCATAATAGCGCTCCTAAACTCCTATGATGCGCACAACACATACAAGAATATTTGTCATAGGAAGAATCTTCCTATGACAAATAGTGTCATAGGAGAGCGGATATGCGTGTCGTATTTGTCATAGATGCAAGCAGAACAGGCTGAATGCACGAAGGAAAGAGAATGAACGGAGGAAAGTGTACAACCGCAAAACTTTTCTTGTATGGAATGGATTCGTGGAATTTCCCCATTACCAGGAGTGTATAATATAGTGTATCTAGAAGGAATGTATAGGGAACGTACCTAATGTATCTACACCAGGGGTGTCTCTATATTATACACTCCTGATAATACCTAATAATAAAGGTATTATTAGCTCTAGATATATATATATATTTATTCATTTATTTATTTATTTATATATATATTCATTTATTTACCAAGAGCTAAGAATGCCTAGAATGTACAACACGAAAACAAACAAAATAGTGGTATTCCACGGAAAAATTATTATACTCTTGAGATATATATATATATATACCCGCCAGCTCCACCCACCTCCACCCTAGCCTTCCCCCACCCATAAAAAAAGGATGGCGGGTTGTGCTCTGAACCCGACCGTAATTGTTATTGTGATTGTGATAATATATAATATAGAAATGTTATAATATATAATATAGGAGTGTCATATAATATATAATATTGGGGTGTCATTATATCTATATTATGACACTTCTGAAGTTAACACGTTGCACGATCAACGGTTAATCGAGAAGATTCGCGTCGCTGGGGGATCCAGATCTAGAAGGATGACCGTGATGCCCGTAAAACCCATCCACCCATCCCTTCAACCACCCGCCCACCCGAAACATACCCACCCACCCCTTTAACCACCCGCCCACCCGAAA